ATGGAATTTTGAATATCTCCTCAACAGCTTTACAATACTATACAGTGTTTACTTTTGTAGTGATTTCTATGTAATGATTGAATCACAAGTTCTGGGAATGTTTGTAAATATCATAGCAAAAAGTTTGAATTTCTTGTTCTTCTTTCTTCTGCTTCTTTCTTATTGCGTGATAACTTAAAAACCAAAACAATGATGTCAACTAATGTCACTGAGGTGACGTAGTTTCAAACAGAGTATCCGCTTTTATAAGAATTATTAATAACTAGTAGTAATTTTAAAAAATCATAAGTTTAGTGTGAATGATGTTATCATTACATCTTGAAGTTAGCTTTCTTACAGAAATTTGTTGTTCCTTTAAAATTCTTAAATAAAGGAATTACCAGCCTGTCAAGGTTTTAAGTATGAGTGTCGGCTGGGATTCTTTACAGTAGGTGTCTATGATTTGTTGGTGATAAATTCGAACAATAAACTGACTGTACACAATTCATTTGTTTTAAAATAATATATTCAAAATAAGTGAAACGTATGTACAAAAGTTCTTTACACTATAGGATATCAGTTGTATCTAAAACTCTAAATAATTCTCTTTACTTGTCAAAAGTCCACTCAGACTGATTCAATTACTTTAGAATTCAGTTGACAAGACGAATTATTATTCTCTACTTTTATCACAATAGTATCAGTGAATACTTCACTTATGTTACATCGTGGGTTACCACAGTTGTATCCCGATCCTTTAATAATTGTGCCCTTTTCATCAAAATCCACACATACGGATTCAATTACTTTAGAACATTCTTTGACAAGACAAATTATTCTCCTCATCTCTATTAAATGGTGAAACTCACTTTAAAGTATTGTATGTTATGGCTAATCACTCACACGCTAGTTAACCTCACGTTTTTAACTTTTTTGTGACAAAGTGTGAATAGTAAATACTGCATAATAATAAAATCCTATCATAAATATGAGTTGTAACACCACAAAGTATGAATGGTAAATATTGTATACTAATAAAATCCTATCATAAATATGGGTTGTAACACCACAAAGTGTGAATAGTAAATATTGTATACTAATAAAATCTTATCATAAATATGGGTTGTAACGCCACAAAGTATGAATGGCAAATATTGTATACTAATAAAATCGTATCATAAATATGGGTTGTAAAACCACAAAGTATGAATGGCAAGTATTGTATACTAATAAAATCGTATCATAAATATGGGTTGTAACACCACAAAGTATGAATGGCAAGTATTGTATACTAATAAAATCGTATCATAAATATGGGTTGTAACACCACAAAGTGTGAATAGTAAATATTGTATACTAATAAAATCTTATCATAAATATGGGTTGTAACGACCACAAAGTGTGAATAGTTAATATTGTTTACTAATAAAATTGTATCATAAATATGGACTGTAACACCACAAAGTGTGAATAGTTAATATTGTATACTAATAAAATCCTATCATAAATATGGGTTGTAACACCTCAAAGTGTGAATGGCAAATATTGTATACTAATAAAATGTTATCACTGGATAATATTAATGTTTCACTGGAAACACGAAATGGTGTTCAAAGTCTCACTGATAATACTGTATGGTACCACGGTCCCTTTGGTCTCTTATTAAAGTTTCTGGTAGAGCGTGTATGATCTTAGGGAAATAATACAACATACTTTTAAAAGCTCAGTGATAAATGTGTTGCTTATTAAAATAAAGATGACAGGATTGCGTACTTTTATAAAAGGTCATGTTAGTAACACTCTATCTTCTCAAAGTGTGTGTGGGTGCTCAGTATAATATTAAAGCCCGGATGTTAATTGTGTATAGTCTGATAGATAGAATAATAATAACCATTAGCTTTTAAAGCTCTACAATGGGTTATCTACGCTATGTTAACCGCAGAAATCAAAACTCAATTATTGCGGAGTAAGCTCTCAAACTTACTGCTGAGCTCCCCCTCCCCTGGAGCTCTTATTAAAGATCAGTCTTAATAAAATCGTATTCTAAAATAAATCCTAACAATTTTTATGCTATTAAAACCTCAATGAGAAAAGTGAACCTTATATTATTTGAGGGAAGGATAATAATGTACTCCTTCAAAAACTGAGAGATAGCGTACTATTGCGTCCAGATTGGTAAAATTGTATGTTTCTAAATACTCGTTGATTACATCATATAGTACGATAGTGTGAATCCTAAAATTCTATGCCCTTAATGTCTACTTTCTAACGCTTCATACTGTACGGTTATGTAGGGGTAACATTGTGTCATATTAAAGCCTGAGTGAAACAGTTCTTATTTGACATCAAAAGCCTTAAACACAGCTCTGTACGTTGTTAAAGTGTGAATGACAACTGAGTTAAGACTTTATACACTGCATAATACCAGGAAGTAGAAACACTCCCATTTCAGTGAACTATTTGACATCAAAAGCCTTAAACACAGCTCTGTACGTTGTTAAAGTGTGAATGACAACTGAGTTAAGACTTTGTACACTGCATAATGCCAGGAAGTAGAAACACTCCCATTTCAGTGAACTATTTGACATCAAAAGCCTTAAATACAGCTCTGTACGTTGTTGGAGTGTGAATGACAACTGAGTTAAAACTTTGTACACTGCATAATACCAGGAAGTAGAAACACTCCCATTTCAGGGAACTATTGACATCAAAAGCCTTAAATACAGCTCTGTACGTTGTTAGAGTGTGAATGACAACTGAGTTAAGACTTTGTACACTGCATAATACCAGGAAGTAGAAACACTCCCATTTCAGGGAACTATTTGACATCAAAAGCCTTAAACACAGCTCTGTACGTTGTTAAAGTGTGAATGACAACTGAGTTAAGACTTTGTACACTGCATAATGCCAGGAAGTAGAAACACTCTCATTTCAGGGAACTATTTGACATCAAAAGCCTTAAACACAGCTCTGTACGTTGTTAAAGTGTGAATGACAACTGAGTTAAGACTTTGTACACTGCATAATGCCAGGAAGTAGAAACACTCCCATTTCAGGGAACTATTCTTGTTTAAATCTTAGTATTATTTTAAAGTCACTAAATATGAAGTAGCGCCAGTGCTAACTGGATTTAACATGTCAAGTATTAAATGAATTGTTGTTTTTTCGTTTTGTTAGTTCTGTGGATATTCATAGGTTTAAGTTCACTATGTCAGATTTCCTTGGTGGAAAAATTTCGTTTCAGATGTCAAACTATATATTTATTCCATAACAGTAATTTTTGCTTTGAAGCTAAAAATGTAAAAAAAAAATGATTTAAGTGTGGCTATGTATTAATAATTCAGATAACGCAATATTTCTGGCAATACAGCTTTATTCAGTATAGCATTTTAGTGCAAATTTAATAAACAACCATTAACAGAAAACGTTTTAACAAAAACAATCAAAAAATAACAACAACAAATCACTGGTAAACTGGTCTGCAAAATTTCGGTACTTCGACTTTGTCAACATGATGTTTAGTATTGAGCTGGATTTCTTCAATTCTTCCAGTTTTTGCTTTTTCAAACAGGTCCTGAAGATATGGACTATTTTCGGGCAAACAGAAAAAGTTGAGGGTTATATCTTGGATTTCATGGCTTGGCATGCATTCGTCTTTACAGATTGGCACAAATTCTTTGCTGAAGCAAATATTGTTGTCCCAGTGCTTGGTCCAAACCTTCTTCAGGATACATCTATCTTCCTCAAAGGGACTGTAAACATCAATGGTGTTAGGTGTCTGGAACAATGATGAATAAGGTGTATATTTCCTAACCGTGTGAGGGGTTTGTAAGAGGGGAGATACCAAGCGCTCTCTCTCATCAATAGATCTTTGAACACCAGTAGTGGTAAATGTCTGGAACCATGGTGAATAAGGTGTATATTTCCTAACCATCGGCTGGGTTTGTAAGAGGGGAGATACCAAGCGTTGTCTGTCATCAATAGGTCTCTGAACACCAGTGGTGCTAGGCGTCTGGAACAATGATGTATAAGGTGTATATTTCCTAACAATGGGCTGGGTTTGTAAGACAGGAGATGCCAAACGTTCTCTCAGATACCCCAATGGCTTGGTGTACTGGTAAAGTGACTTGGAATACGTTGATGGACACACAAAAGGGTGAAGTGGTTGAAAAGGCAGCTGACATTGTTGACCTCCTAAAACATAGCTATTGACAAAGTCCTGGCTATTAGTGTATACACACAAGTTGGGTCCCAAGAACTCTCTGTAGCTTTCTCCGTTGAAGTCTCCACAGAGACCACAATGTTTACCCATGTATTTGGGAGAAACCTGATAATAAACAACAGTCACAGTTTACTTTATAAAATACAATGATAATATACATTACTGCTCTATCCACCCACAATATCCACTTTGAATAAGAGGTTGCAAACAACTTATATTAATTATCAACTGCTCAATTGACATTTTATACAAAAATAGACTTTTTGGAAACAATTTAATTCTACAATATCATCATGCGATTCTTGAAGTTATCACGACTCAATAGTTGGATCAAAGCATTTAAACAGTAGTTATAAAGACGATAAAACACACAACGTCATAACTCTGTAAGTCCAGTATCGTGAAAATGACTAACAGTTGATAAGAACTAACTGCTTTACCATTTAAAGAAGGACACGTTTAATTACCTTTATCCTTGCATTCACACCATCGTATCTAATATGAAGACCTTCCACTTCAGCTTGGACAACAACAATTGGACGAGATAAAGTCTCTTCGAGATAGACATAGATGGGTGATTCTACAGATCCGACTTGAAGTGGTTGGCCATAAACCAGTTGATGTGTTTGTTGATCAATAATAATCTCGATGGAGGACTGTTGCCAAGATGGAAGCAACCTGATTTCATGACCAACTATATGCACCAACAGTGCCTGTAGATGAAAACAGTTTATATTGTGGTTAGAGTTTTCAAGCCTCAAGAAAATAAACATATCAGTGGTGATTGTAGACAAAAGTACCTTCAGAGTGTGATTATCACATTTAGAATAAAAAATAGGTATGTTTCTTTACCTAGTACAGATACGACAAGAGCTTGTAAATAACAATAGTTATCTTTCTTTCCCTAGTACATATACGACAAGAGCTTGTAAATAAAAATAGTTATCTTTCTTTACCTAGTACAGATACGACAAGAGCTTGTAAATAACAATGGTTATCTTTCTTTACCTAGTACAGGTACAAGAATTTGTAAATAACAATAGTTATCTTTCTTTACCTAGTACAGATACAAGACCTTGTAAATAACAATAGTTATCTTTCTTTACCTAGTACAGATACAAGAATTTGTAAATAACAACAGTTATCTTTCTTTACCTAGTACAGATACAAGAATTTGTAAATAACAACAGTTATCTTTCTTTACCTAGTACAGATACAAGAATTTGTAAATAACAACAGTTATCTTTCTTTATCTAGTACAGATACGACAAGAGCTTACAAGTAACAATAGTTATCTTTCTCTACCTAGTACATATACGACAAGAGCTTGTAAATAACAATAGTTATCGTTCTTTACCTAGTACAGATACGACAAGAGCTTGTAAATAACAATAGTTATCGTTCTTTACCTAGTACACATACGACAAGAGCTTACAAGTAACAATAGTTATCTTTCTTTACCTAGTACACATACGACAAGAGCTTACAAGTAACAATAGTTATTGTACTAGGTAGAGAAAGAATATCTCCTCTCTAAGGACTGCTCTCCCGAGGAACGATACGCTGTTATTCTTACCCCGACAGAGGCAACAGGTCATACTAAGGTACATTGATATATTACATATTATCTTTTTGTCGTATCTGTATTAGGTAAAGAAGGATAACTATTGTTACTTGTAAGCTCTTGTCGTATGTGTACTAGGTAAAGAAAGATAACTATTGTTATTTACAAGCTCTTGTCGTATCTGTACTAGGTAAAGAAAGATAACTATTGTTACTTGTAAGCTCTTGTCGTATGGAATCATTGCAGAATTTGTGAAACAAGTGCCAGGTGTACCCCTTCTGAATTTATTTATTGAGAAGCCCACTGAAAATACCTATATTCGTAAAATCTACCTACCTTACGTCAAGCCTCTGTCACTACTGGTGCCACCTGTAGAAGACCACATGAGATTATTGTGGAACAGTAAAGTGGAGCGTAAGTATAACATAGTTACTGGTTCGGAAAACTCGGAAAAAGTGTTAGTTTTTGTATATAAATTTACTTTTAATTATGTATAATACAACATATAAAACTCAAGATACACATTCATATGAGCTGCTCTAAATAGCAGTATTTTTTAAATGTACTTACACAAAGTATGTGGTAGTGACATAAATATTATTTACGTGATTACTTCTTGTCTAGCCGTTTGTTCTGTGATGGAAAGATACATTGAAACTTTGGACAATGTGACTTTCCCAACGCCCGAAACCCAGTGTCCACTAAGGTCTTGTTACTGTACGTGCTTCACTAATAAGAAGTGTATATCAATTATTCTTTCACTAAAGTCTAGTTACTGTACGTGCTTCACTAATAAGAAGTGTATATTAATTATTCTTTCACTAAGGTCTGGTTACTGAACGGACAATACAGGAAATAGCAGGATACTTGAGTTTGTCTGACACGATGATCTAACTGCGTGTATATGACCAGAAGAAGTTAAAATGAGATACTTTATTTATATCAAAAATATCATAGATATGTCAAAATTTGCCTAACTTTGCACTAATGTATTTCACATAATCCCTGAATAATTTCTATATATCGCATCTGAAAACTGATTCTAAAGGAAGTTTTCTCAATAGTCTTTAAAATAATACTTAATGTTTTGTAAGTTTTCCTTAAGGCGTGATTAATTTTAAAACGTTTCTTGATTTTTCTTTACATTAGGTTCCTCCGTATCTTGTCAACCTGACCCACCATATAGACTTGGCTCTGAAAGCATACCTGTATCCCTTAGTGGATAACAATGCAGTGGATGTCCGTAATTCTGAGAAACAAATCCGTATATTAATTATTGTTTTACGTGCTTCACTAATAAGAAGTTTTCACTAAAGTCTAGTTACTGTACGTGCTTCACTAATAAGAAGTGTATATTAATTATTCTTCACTAAAGTCTAGTTACTGTTAGTGAAGCACGTTCAGTAACTAGAATTTAGTGAAAGAATATATAATATACACTTCTTATTAGTGAAGCACGTACAGTAACTAGACTTTAGTGGAAGAATAATTAATATAAACTTCTTATTAGTGAAGCACGTACAGTAACTAGACTTTAGTGGAAGAATAATTAATATAAACTTCTTATTAGTGAAGCACGTACA